TCTCTCTCTCTCTCTCTCTCTCTCTCTCTCCTCCCTCTCTCTCTCTCTCTCTCGCCTCACTTTCTCTCTTTTTTCCCCTTTCTATACAAGCTTGGATAGCGCACTTTCTCTGAACTTCTCGTTATTTTTCGAAATGGTCGGAACAATAAATGTTCAAACCTGACGCTCTTTTTGGGAATTATTGATACTTTCAGAGCTACAATTAACGTTTTTTTTACCAGTTATTTGAATGTCTCTCTTAAGTTGCAAAAGGGAAAATAGTAAAGAACAAAATTCGCATATTCTTAATTTTTGATTGAGTTCATTGTACGGATGATTATTCTTTGCTAGGTACCATAAGGGGACTAATTAAAGAGATTCTAACAACTCATTTACGGTATTTAGCGCAGGATTTCTTCCTCAATAATAGAGGCCCTCGATACTCTTAATTCTAGTTTTAGATAGTTTTGATGTTTTTTTTCATCCAAAACATTTGAACAAACCGGGACATATGGTTTTCTGCCTATATCTCAAAAAAGATGTAGGTTATTAGAAATATAAGGCGTTTTGTTATCAGCAATAATATTTCTAAGGTTCCCTACGTTTAGGTGTTTTTTGGAAGTGTCGGTGGTTTTCTCTTCCTGCAGCGGCAGGTCTTCTTCCGGACTCTCTCCATTCTGCAGTCGGTCCAGATCCTCGGCCGAGTAGGGTAATGTCTCGTGCTCGTAGACAGCATCAAACAATCCGAAGTTCACCACGTACTGTCCACGCTCACGTTGGATCATCTGCCTAAAGTTATTTACACAGTGTTTTTACACAGTTTCTTATCACTGTTAAAACACGCTATTTAAGCAGACTTGTTATAAACCTCTTTTTGGAGGCTTATAACAATTCTGGAGGTTGAAAGTATTAAGTGACTCAGGTTTACCGCGGGATTGGAGAGAAATTTACACCAATTGAAAACAAGAATTTTTTATCGTTATTGATGGTATAGAATTAATTACCGTTAGTAATTAATGGTTTACCGTTATTATTAATGTTTGAGAACGTAAAAAACACTGAAAACGCCATAAACGACTGAAGGATGTTATGTATGCAGCCCTGCATTCCAATTCGTTCCAGAAAACAAGGATTTGTTCATTATGAACTGTACTGAAAGCATTCAAGCAATTGTTTCCATTATAAACTACCATTTATAAACATGGTACAATGATTGATACAGGCAGCATTCAATTTACAAAGCATTTCGAAGAAATCAAAAACCTATTTAACCTTTTTCAATCCAAACTTCGGGGATTATAGAGAATAATTGATTTTAAGATCGAAAAACGGGCTAGCAATGAAAAGAAAAACCATCACCAGAACTCATGCAAAAAACGATTAGATTTTAATGAAGTTTACCTATGAATAAAACGGGAGAACCTTTTTTTGCAGGTGGAATGGGAAGCAGTTCTTGTAGGGTACTACGGGAGGTTCCCCCACAGACCGCCCAGCCCCTTGCACCACTTTTTTCGATCGCAAAACCCTAAATAGTAAAAGTATGCGCATCTTATGCGTATTAAAAATAAAATAATTAGATAATGATAAATTTCTTTGCAAGCATTTTTACAGTTAGTTAGGAGGACGTCAAAAGGCAATGAGTCTGTCAAGGACGCCTCAAAAAACTAAAAGAAATGAGCCATTTTTTGTGTACGCATGTGTTTGGTAAAAAAAAGAAAAAAATTATATAGAAAAATGGATCTTTATCATCAGTGCGCTAATTTTTATTCTACCTATTTTCAAAAAATACCTGAGTAACTCAATTAGTTTTTTTTTCTAGCATATACAGTTCTTGAATACAGATAGATAGATAGGACTATTTTCAATTTCTTGAAAAAGAAAAAATATTCTTCGTAAAATTTTACAGATTCCTATAAACTTCTTTATTTTTCCTATTTAAAATTTGCTTAGAAAAGCGGTAATTTTTGCAAGAATAGCTAATATTTTATGGATTTGAAGAGGTTAAAAAACTCAAAACCAGGTTTAAAAAATTCAGCCAAATTTTGAGCATGTTTCACTTCTTTAGAAAATCCAGGTTGTCTTCAATGAAACTAATTTCATTTTTTTTCTTCAAAAAATTAAACTTTTTTTTTCGCTTTTGATGCAATATCACTCCAACTTTTTTAGTTTTTCAATTGAAGTTTCAAATTCGATGGTACAATTTTAATTGTGTTTGAAAATGACTAGTGGCCTACTTGAAGTAGTGTCCCCAGAGGATTTCATCTGGAGTGTAGCTGGTCCTCATCTGGGTGGTCATGCCAGTCTGTTCCACAGCCCCCTCCACTATCACCACTATTTCGAAGTCGTGTCTGCTGAAGTTGCTCTTCGAGTAGCTGTAGAGAGGGGAGCGCTCGTTGATCTTGTGACGCAATATTATAGGCGCTATGATCATCACTCGGTCGAAACCTGAACAAAAATTGAATAATTTGCAAATTAGTACCAAAGAACGCGGATCAAATTTGTTTTCCATTGTGGCAAAGAGTTTCAAAGTTCTTCTGAGGGGTCGAAAGTATCTTAAACGTCTGTTCAATTTGCGTTGAGCCTTTCCTCTCATGAAAACTTTTGGCTTTTTAATTGACTTTGTTATTAATTAAAGTTAACGGGCGATTCATTCCGTCATTCGATATAAATGCCACAATATTTCTACTTGGATGTCGGAACTTCGTCATAACAATCGTCATAATATGTGTAGTCTTTTAGAAAGAATAATTGAATGTGGAGTTACCGTTATCGTATCCAACGTCCATGTCGTAGAACTCGATGGGGTTGAAGTCGTGTTCCTCGGAGGTCTTGGACTTTATGAGGTACATGCGCACATGGGCCTCCACTAGGAAGGAGTTATTTCTGATGTCCCCCACCCTCACTGAGAAGTGTAGTTGGCCATCGTACACTCCTATGCAGGCCATCTTTGAGAACACCACCGTCTCCGCACGCTTCTTGGCCCTGAACAAAAGCACAAACAAACATATATTAAAGACTAAGTGAATGAGTACCGAACAATAAGCGAAAAGGATGCATGTAAGTCTTGACTAGGGGCGCGATAGAGAAACTCCGTAAAAAAATACACAGCTCGATTAATAAAGATTGCATAAGTTACGCTGAGAAGGCTTAGTTGTAAATGAATTTCGAGAATCAAAAATTTTCCAGAAACAATAGGGCAATTGCAAGGCTTATTTTTCCCTCGTTTTTCTTCTACCAAGTCGTGTTTGATCATTTTGTTGTTATCAAAAGATGTATTTGACATAAATTCAGGGACATAATCACGGGATCGACCTCCGGTTCATTATGCGTTTATATCCTGTTCATCTCAAGAATGGACCTCCTGACCACCTAAAACTGACCACCTATTGCGGATGAGATGTCAGCTATCAGCATGTTAGAATATCAAAGGAATATTTGAAGAATTAGAGAAATAGAAAGAATGGTTTGAAGAATTAGAGAAAACGTGAAACATATAAACCTGAATTTTCCTCAAGACGGGCCGAAGAGGAGGAAGGAGTGATCCTAACTTAACCTCCAGGTCAACTGAGCCTGGACTAGTTATAAACGTTCATCGCTGTAAAGTTGATTGATTTTGTTATTATTTGTGATACCTCTATGCCGAGGGTGAATAAGTAGAACAAAAATGTAGATCTCAAATTGTTAATTAACATGAAATCTTTTTAGATTTGTTTTCTTTTGAGTTCGACTGAGTTCCGTCACGCAGTACGGCACACTGTTCAGTCGTAGAATCAATTAGGTCATCGTAAGTGACCTTGAATAATACTAATCATACAAATACATAAATAACATACGCACTCCCCAAGGTTACTGTAGTGTGGCTGTGGCTGCAGCTGCAGCTACTGTACCACATTCCCCGGGGACAAATAAATTTTTATTAACATAAAAATTTAATAATACAATAGGAGTTTTCAAATCTCAGTTTAATGTTACTGTTTGAAAAAGTCTTTTGTTTTTACTCTTTACTTGCTCCTCTTTTCTTTCTGTCTCTTTGTATTGTATTCAAGTCGCCTCTCTTTCTTTTTTCGGAAAATAAAATTTCAGTGGGACCCACCACGAGGCATTCCACGATCGCGTCACATCCAGCGAAGCATATCCAAACTTTTTTCGGAATAAGTGTCTTTCTAAGATGCCCAACTTTGTCTCTGCTAACTTGTTTGTGTCTGTTTTGAGTCTCGCCAGTTTGAGGCGATATGCCTCCAAGGCGGCCTTATTCAAGTCCGTTAAGTCCTCCTCCGAACAAATTAAGCGTACTGAGTGCTGAGCTGGGTCACCATATCTCTTGGGTCCCTGATTCTTAGTTTGCCGATTACTCCTCCGAATCTGTGCGATGCTGCCCTGATGCTCGTCTTTGCTTGATTCATCCGAGCAGCCTGGCGGTGTGTCCATGTGGACGTCATCATCACTTTGCTCCGCGTCTCTGGAAGTGAGAATATCTTCGGCAGTTTTTTGTATCCCTCTCGTCAATACTTGGTCTGCCATCTTCTCCCATTCGCCCCGTGTCATGTCTTGATTTTGGAATACCTCCAATATAGCTTCTGGGCTGGTCTGACGGTTAATTTCTTTCATTTTTGCCTGTTTGATTGGAGTTGACGCATGTGGGGTGCTCTTATCTGACCGTCCTGGACTCTCGTTGTTTCCGTCCGTATTTAGTGCGTCAGAAGCTGCTGTAGCAGCTTTTGCTCGACGAGCCTCTTGAACAGTCGGTTTTTTAATTTTCTTCATTGGGCTGCTTTAGTTCAACTGTCTTGGCATACTCAAAGTCGGCCCAACGTTGTTGGGCTTCGCCCGTTTTACAGCCAGGTTAAGTCCCCCTGACTCTGTCTCTCGAGGTGACTCTTACAGGACTGTCCTGGAAACGCTCTGTGGCTTTCGTATCATCTGCTTCATTTTTATAACTCTCTTCATCCTCCGACTCAAGAGTTTCCTGTAACTGGGCGTTCGTGCCGACTCCTTTCTTTTTCGCATCTTCTATTTTTGGGGACCTTGCATTCTTCGCGATTTGTAGTGCCAGTGGTGAAGTTTCGACTGTGCGATGTAATTTTTTCTATATATTGCTACAGCAGCTGTCTTCACAGTAGATCGCGTTTGCGACGTCACCTTTCCTTTTAGAGAATTAGTGAGAGCTTTCCCGCTGTTCCTGTTTTCGTCCTTGCAAAGCAAAATTGGTGACCATGCATGGTTTTGCTCCTCCGCCGGTTTATCTTCGATAAAGCCCTTTTCCCACGAGTACAGTAACTCTTTTCTCAAATCCGGTTTGATCGTACTCGTTTCGTCCACCAGTCTCCAGATATCACTGTCCGACGCATCCCGTCGAGTGGCATTCCAGTTTGCATTGGCCTCTAGCAACGTCTTAAATGCCTCTGCCCGGTCTCTGTCCTTTGCAAGTAGCGACTGCTGTTCAAACATCGGACTGACATCCCGACTGTTCGATCCGTTTGGTACGCTCTTGACATAGTCCCTGGATTGATCTATTCTTTTTCGTAAATGTGAAGCCGTGAGTGCCGATCTCTCCAAATACTGTTTATCTAAATCATCAGAGTTTGCCAAAAACTTATCTCCTAATATCTTAATTTATGTTTTTGGAAGACGTCCAAAGTGAGCTTCAAACGGAGAGAAATGCATGGTTTTTGTTTCGCCCATCTAAGGTCTCGAATTATCGTGCTACGGCAGAGCTTTATTGATGAGACGTTTTGGTCTTAAAGCATTACTCTTAATTTTATTTTAATTGTTTGGATAGTACGTTCTACTAAACCGCATCCTCGGTGATCTCCCACCGGGCAAAATTTTTGTTCTATGTTGTTTTCGGAACAAAAGTTCTTCATTGGTTTTGCCTTGAACCCAGTAAACTGGGCAGTTCTTATAGATTCTGGTATTCCATGCGTGTCAATTATGGTGCAAAGTAACTTATTTGACGACTTTCCACCAGTCGATTTAGTAACTTTCACCAACGGAAATTTTGAATACCGACCTATTGCTACCAATAAGTGAACTTTCTTTCCCTCATGATCTTTAAGCGGTTCAATATAGTCTAATTGTAACTCTTGACTCGGCTGCGTTAGCAGTGGTAGTGTTTTGGTAGCGTTTTTGGGAATGATATATTTAGCATTCTTACCATAGCGAGTACAGCTTCTACATTCTTCGGCCGAATTAACGATGTTTTTGTGGATGTGTGGCCACCAAAAGTATTGTGACACATTGAGCATTGCCTCTCGGCCGGTATGACCCTGATGAATTTTTTTAAGAACTGCCGAGCGCAGTTGACATGGGATCGCTAGCCTATCGTTTATGAGTATGCAGTCGTCCAATACACATAACTGGTGCCATAAAGGATTCGCGTATGGGCCCATCAACTCGAAACTGTATCTATCATTTCTTGCGATCACTCTTCGAAGGCGGTCCATCTACGTGTCCTCCGTGATCAGTTCTGCGAGCAAAGTCTGATCAAACAATCGTGCGAGATTATCCGTCCCTCCTGGTATTGCGTCGTTGGCACTCCGCTCTTCTTTTCTGGAATTATGGCTGATTATTCTTGACACCACATTCACTTCCTGGTCATCTTCGTCCGGGCTGTCCGCCGTGAAATCCACCTCAACTATCGGCATTCCTTCATTCTCATCAACGCAATTATCGATCGCGTTAGGGCTGACCGTTTACGTCTGTGCCTCCAGTTCCAGCATCGTTTTGGCTTTTCCGATCCCTCTAAACCCACTAAGTCCCAACAAAATGAAACTAGTTTTGGTCTCTCTTTCTTGTCCACCGCCATCTCACTGCATGCAGCTGGTGATGGCGCTCCTTCTTTACACATTAAGTTCGCCGATGTAGAAGTCCCTGCTGCGTCTTTGTTCTTAATCTGCTGCCGCATTATCCTCCACTCTGCATATGGTATTTCTGAGTCTGAGCTGTCTGTGTCCTCGTTCGTTGCTCCTGGTCCCCGTTTTATCAATCTTGTCTGTTGGAAAGTTGTTTTCATGACCTCTTCCGTCACTTGATCGTGTCCCCCACCCTGTCTGATGTCCCTCACCTTTTTCTTTCCACTCTTATCCTTCTCCACCTTGTCTTTATCGTTCTTCGCATTTCCGTTGTTTTCCATCGTCAAATTTTTCACTGAATTCTGGTATAATTTCTTGGCCAATTGGTTTGAATGAGAGAAATTGCATAAAGTGTTTGTTTTAGAGTTTGAAATTCGTGAGTTGCGACCGTTTTCGTTCCGTTCGAGCCTTGTTCGTTTTGAACAGATTTGGTTGCTATAGCAACCGTGGGATGACGTGTTTACTTTATTGTCACTGCCAGTGTTTCTACCAGAATGTTCTAGAATATATTCGTTTCGAACAGGCTCGGCCATATCCAATAGCTGATTGTTCAAACTGTAGAGAGCTCTATGAAAGTTTTCAATCGATGTTACTACAAACTTCTCATCAAGTTCAGACTCTGGCGATGGTTCTCCATTTGGCTCTCTTGATAGTTTATCAACTAAATCCATATCCTTTCCAGGTATATGCATAATTTTGAACTGATATGGTAACAATCTATCAACCCATTTTGTGAGTCGAGACTGATACGTTTTGTTTGAACAATTTTCGCCTAAAGCAGATGTTTGTGCTTTATGGTCCGCAGCTATGGTAAATTCTCTACCCGAAAGATAATGTTTAAATCTGTCCACAGCCCATACTACTGCTAACAATTCTAGCTCACTTGTCGAATATTTTTTTCTCTCGTGTATTCAAATACCTTGATGCAAAAGCAATTAGCATCTAATCCCCCTCCTCTGTTTTTTGTTCGAGGGTGGCCCCAAAACCGCTGTGACTCGCGTAACATTTCACTTGTGTATCTTTTGTCTGGTTATAATAATTGATTTGTGCAATATTGGCCACTGTTTTTTTGATTTCGTCAAAAATAATGGAGTGTTTTTCCTCCCACTCAGACTTTTTCACCGGCATTTTTATATATTTCAGTTTCTTCTTCTCATTCTCATCCCGTAATAAGGGCCTAAGTTTATCGGTTAGGCTCGCTGCATGCGGAATAAATTTTGACAGGTGATTGATACTACCCATAAAGAATCGTAGTTATTTTAGTGATTTAGGTGGATTCCAATTGAGTATTGCCTCTGTCTTTGCTATTTTAGGAACAATACCAGATGGTGATAACTTATGTCCAAGCCAATTCACCTAACAATAGAAGAACTCACATTTAGCAATTTTTAATGCTAAAATTTCGTAATTTAGCCTTAAAACCTACAAGACTAATTTTTCATGTTCTTTTTCGTCTCCCTTCGAAACAATCAAAATATCGCTTAAGAAGCAGAATGCATTCAGAGCGTGGTTCAGCGTGCGATCCATGGCTTTTTGAAACTCCGCTGGCATATCCGCCAGACCATAGAAGCCTGTAAGGAACCTGTACGTTCCGGTTGTTTGCCCCCCACGTAATTGACATTACACTGTTTTGATGTTTCTGCAGTCCATTTGAGTTTGCTATATGCGTATTTTAAGTCTAAGACTGTGAAATACAATGTACTTACTGCTTTTGAAAAAACGACAAGACTCTCTCAATCTAGGAGTTCATCGACGTTGGGCATCTGATAATTATTTTTAAACAGTTGTCTGTTAATAGGTTTAGCGTCTAACGCTAATTTGATTGAGTCGTCTTTTTTCACTGTGACGACAATTGGGGCAATGAAACAATCACCGGTACATTTATCCGATTTCTTATATGTCCTTCCGATAACAATTTAGTTAATTCCGATTGAGCTTTCTCCTGAATATGAATAGGTATTCTTCGACCTTTTTCTTGTATCGGACATAATGGATATTTAAATTTCGTACTCACTACGTGATTTTTGATATGCCCTGGCAATGAAAAAGGTCCGAAAACTTATTATAAAATAGTTTTTTCCAACCTTGTGACTGCTCGCACAGTAGCAAGTCAAACCTCGACTTTTCTGTAGGTGCCGTCTTTTGAGTTGTGTGTTTCCCAATTTTGTTCTGGAGATCCAATCCTAATATGCATCTTGTGCGACGTTCAGTGACTAAAAACGATACCCCTTTCACTTCGCATCGGGCTGACCTGATATTGGTCTTAAATGCTACCAAAAATAGGATAGGTTGTTTGTTGTAGTCAACAATTTGTGCTGACAAATTTAGACTTTCTGCCGGCATGAATTTAGTTTTTGGACACTCTTATAGACGCTGTTTAGTTGTTGCGCAGTTTAAAAACGACACTGGACTCCCAGTATCTATAGTCATGTTAATAATTTGGTTACCAATTCTGACTAATGCTTTTAGCGACTTTATCTATGCTGGTTTAAGATTTCTGCGAATGTAGATTTTTCTTACATTTTGAGGACCTCTTTGCCGTGTACTTGTAATTTGGTTTTCTCTTCTCAAGTTTATCCAAACTGTAGTCATTAATTTGTTTCACGGACATTTTGTCTTCTTCGACCACCATGAGCTCAAAGGCATCGCAGGAATCAAAACATCTTATAAGATTGCATACTTCGTCTGAACTAGATATTTCCTCTGCGACCTCGTTGACTTGCTGTGGCTGACACATTCGTGCAAGGTGAGTTGGCTTGTTGCAGTTTATGCATGTTTCACCCATTGCCGGGCAATTTCGTAGGTGTCCTTCCCCGAAAGATTTTCCACACCTTGTACATTGTTTCTGATCGGCTCTAGATTTTGTGTTGCTTTTAGCATCCCATGTCCTCCGTTTATAAGGCTCTTTGTTTGATCGCCTGTTACTTCCTCCTCTATTGCCAACCTCCATAATGGGTTCTTGTTTTATCTTTACTTGTGACCCCATTAGATTGCCTGCACTTGCAGTGTTAGCATATGATTTTTGAAAAGCTTGCGTCGTTTGCTTTTTGCTTTGTTCAGCATGGAAAGATTCTAGGGACTCGCCCGCTTCCTGTGTTTTCGCGAATAGTTTGTGTCTCTCATATGTTATACTTTTTGTTTTTTCGAACGAAGTTTTTGCCAGGGCTACCATCTCCCTAAACTCAAGCTTTGACACTTCGGTATGAGGATTTTTCTGAATAAGTCTCTTTTTCCCCTCCGTTCCAAGGGCAAGAAATAATCTCGAAGCGATTCGTTTTTGGACTTCCAAAATTTTTTCCGATTTTTGGAATTTTCGTCCACCAAAAAAACAATTTGGCTAACTTTTTCAAAAATTAGCAGAAGGGGTAAGAAGTTTTGGCAAAATATGGTTTTAAGTGTTTTGGGAAGTAAGTCAATATTTGCCCCTGCATCAAGTGAGAACTGAAAATTGAAAAACAAAATTAATGAATTGAGCCACAAGTGTATAACTTGCACCAAGAATACGATGGCTGTGGTCGTGACTATAGCGATGTTGACATTACCTGGAGGCCTTAGCTAGCACCATTCCGATGAGCACAGACTCGAAGAAGGCGGCCAGGATTGACTGGATGATAAGTAGGATGATGCCCTCCGAACACTTCTCAGAAATGACTCTAAACATAAAACCATCTTTTTAGTCCCATTTTTTCACAATTCAAGGGCAATAAAACTTAAAAATGCAGCTCCTTCGAATGGAAAACCAACCATTAAATTTACGTGCCATGTTTTAAGTATTAATCATAAGGTAGTATATAAATTGTTTCAAGTAAAAATCCAAACTCAAACAATCCATTCTGCATATTAAATACATCATTTGAAATAAACACCCCAGTGAGAGAGATCGCTGATCGTCAACTTAAATCAGTTTTAGAATTTTAAAAATAAACATCACTCAGTCATTTCATCCACCTGTATCCATATCCGATGGTGGTCTGTGTCTCGAGCGAGAAGAGGAATGCGCCCACGTAAGAGCGAGTGTTCTTCAGACAGAAGTCCCACTCCACTTCTCCCTCTGACCCGACGGGGTCGTCGAAGTGGTCGAAGTCCTCGTGGAAGTACATGATGAGCCACCAGAAGAAGCCAAACAGCGCCCAAGTGAAGTTGAAAGCTACAAAATGAAACAAGAAATCAACAGGCCAATCGCGGAAAAGTGAAATTTAAGCGTGAACTTCAAAAAAGATCAAAAACTCCTTGAAAAAAGCTACGCATTCCAAATAAATGTGTTCAATTCGTTCATTGGCATTTAAACAACACAGCACAACCTAACATCTAACAAAATGAGAGCTAGTAACTGGCTTGAGGGTGAGGCAAAATTACCCGTCGAGAAAAATAACATTTTTTGAGGGACAGACACAACAGCGGTTTTCCGCAAAGAGCTGAACACCTTTTATGTTGGTCCTTCCCTCGATAATACTCTGACCTTTATCTTATGTTAACTTCGATTTCCGGACTGGATCATGTAACATCACCTTACTGCCGTTTTTTATAACCACATCTAATAGCCACATATCATATAACCATTCTTCATAACCAAATATGAATATAACCAGACTATCTTGGCGCGAGCTATCAAAGAAAAGGAAAAAAGTTTTCGAAAATGTACTATGTAAATATTCTTCTGGAGATCCAATTAGGGCGTTCCGTGTTTGATACCTTTTTGTTGGTTGAAAAATCGTCTGAGAGGACGATGAGTGCTTGAATAAAATGAAATTTCCACGCCTTTTGAAATTCAGACATATTTCTCCGTCAAAATTAAAAACTCTATAGCACCTATTGCCACATTTCTTTAAGTCAAAGTCTTGGATGTATAACAGAAAATCACATCAAAAATGAATAGCCATTCTCACATCTCAGACGGTTTCGATTCAGTAATGATTCAAAACTCTTGTCTCATGTTCGGGCGTTCACTCACCTAGAATGAATATGAGCATGAGCCAGCGCCACTTCATGTCCACGACAGTGGTGAATATGTCGGCCATGAATCTATGGCCCCTGTGTTTGATGTTGATGAACTTGGCATTGGTGGAGCCACTCTTGTTGAACAGACGCGTTCTACACCACACAACACAGTTTACAATTAGTTGAGGTTTTTGTTATTCGCAGAGGGTCTATAATAAGCTATCAGGACTGTCTAAGCATAGTCCAATTTTATCATTTGCAACATCCAAGACAGCTATTTTGCTGAGCGAAGCTCTTTTTTTGCAAGTACCGCTACTTTACGATTTTAGGGGAAATTCATTTGAGAAAGTTTTCTTGAAAAAGACAGATCAAAGAGGTTTGACACGTTCAAAAGACATGAAAAGTTTCAAACTCACGGTAATAACTTTTCTGGTCAAATAATTCAAGAAAAGTTAATTTTTCGATTAACATGAGAAACAGAAACTAGAAAATTTTGGTTCTTCATAGCGTTTACTGTACAAGAAGCTGAAATAACATAAACAGTCGAACAAAAGCCTAGCATAAAAAGTCAAAATCTTCTCTCATGCAATTCAAGATAGACACTAGATTCTAATGTCATCTTTTCAGAAATTTTTTTTTAGTTTTACTTATATTAATTTAAGATTTCCATGACTCAATTAAAATCCATCGATATTACCTCAATGCAATTTCAAAAGGATAGCCAGTTGCTTAAAAGTGAAACAAAATGTCAATCAGACTTGCATTCACAAAACAAAATTTTTTTTTCTACTTTTTCCTTTTATTTTTGACTGTGAAAAGATGATTCGTACGTTTAAAATAACTTTGTCTAGATAATTACTGATATCCTAAAAATCGAAAAAAAATAAATTATATATAGTGCGCACCAAATAGCAAAGACGGAGTTTATTTCATCGAAAAAGACAATTTTTTCCGCTGTTTGCTTTGAGAAGAAAAGTTCTCTAATTCCGAAGTTTGTCTACAAGGGCTTCGGCAAGATATATTATCACTAGTCCAAATCTTAAAAAAGCCCGACTCTTAAGCCTAATTCAATTCTAGATTAAATTTGTTAAAACAATCAATTGTCAATCAGAGCAGTAAGAAGTTTTCATCTTAGATGAATAATTACCTTCAAAAACACAGAAAACAATTTGAAACCCCATTACTTTTTTCAACTGATTGCTGCTGAATGCTAATTTCTGATGGAGGCGCTAAAAATTTAATCAAAAGTTTTGAAACTGTTTTAAAAACAGCTTTCAACTGTGTTTGACTAGGGTTCGACTTTATCGACCCTCAATAGGGTATGTTTCGACTGTGCTTAACATATGTTATATTTTTCTCGAATTTGAGCATATTTTGACTTAACGGTCGACTTGAAATAGCTTCTCGATCGCGGATTTTGGGTCACATAACTACAATTTCTCGATTTTGAATGTCAAACAAAACGTCCAGTACCTCGACCCGAGCCTATATAATCCTCAATTTTAACTAAGTCTAGCCCATAGAACTCTACCAAGGTAATCACTGAAAAATATACTCTTGTACATTTCTACTCAGAGAGTCGGTCTCTTCGTTGAGGTATGCTTGTATATTTTCATTAGCTGAACTTGGGTTGAACAAAAATTGGAACAACAAAAAGATAGGATTGCCCCGATTTTAGTTTTTTTTTCATCAAGAAAACTATTGATGGCTTGAGCTCAAAATTTTTTTTAAAAATTACCTGTGATCATACTCCGAAAAATTATAGGTTTTCGAGAATTGTCAGTTTGAAATAATCAATGCCCTTAATATACCATTTTTTAAGAACCGCTTAACGTAAGCGGAAACTACGTCGGGCTAATAATTTATTCAAATTGAATTGAGTCCCAGCATTTGGTCCAAATAAAGGGTTTCTAGATGAGAAAATATATTCCGCGTTTTTTCGAAAGCCGGAGCAGCAACAGTTTTTACTTATATCCAGATCCTCATAACGTTACGGAAAGAGATCCGAAGTACAAAATATATGAATTTTGAGACTTTTTTCTAACTACATGAATTGTGGTACCTTAAAATATTCCAAAAACTTTTTCTTTGATCTTTAAAATTAGCCTGACACACATCCAGCACAAATATTTTTTCTTTCTTCAACAGTCGGAACGATCGGTTGTTTTATCATTCCTACTTCCGAAAAAAAAAGAGGATATTTATGCTTGGGGTGGTTTTTTTATACAGTCAATTTTGGACTTTTGATCTTGAATGGATTATATTATAATGTCAAAAAGAACTTGCTTTTCTAAGCTCAAATTGAAAAATATATTAAACCAGTGGTCCTTTCATAAAATTGGGTTTGAAAATTGCTAATTTGCCCAATTTGGGATAAGTAACCGGTGATATATTGCGTTCTAATAAAACGCTTAAGCGGCGGCTCAACGCGTCCGAAACTGAATTGAGGCAAGTCATTTGGTCGTATTGTTTGGATACAAGGCGCTAAATAGAACCTTATGTATTTTGAAATAGCATATAGGGGATAAATTCAAAAAAAAACTTTTAAATTGACCTTAAAGGGCAGTCGGAACATTCAGGGCAGTCGGAAAAAAACTGAAATAAAATATCACGATGCTCAAAATTGGTTACAAAAATTAAAGCACTCCATCGTAATAAGAAATTTTTGCTCAACTTATGACAGAAACTACGAACATCAGCTACCAGCTATTGCTAAAGTTTTTCTTAAATCTAGAAATAATTATTTTGCTTCAACATTTTTTCGTTGTCTCATTACCCTCGATGCAATAAATTTGAGATGCAAATTAAGCTCATATTTGAAAACTGATTTTCACTTTTTTGCGATTTTAATTCACTAAGGCCGCTTTTGTTTCCCTTGCCTTCCCTTGACAGAATAAAATCAATTGATCAAAATAAGCTCGACTCATATAAAATTAGGTGGTAGAACATTTGGGTTTCTTTCTCTCAAAAAAATGTTTTCCCAATTTGTGCTCTCGTTTAGAAAACTAACAAAAAAACTCGGTGAAAAAATGCCTGTTTCAAAATTGAAGTAATTTTTTTTCAACAACCATTGACGTAAAAAAAGACGCCAACCAACTGACTTGAAAAGTACTAATTTGCAAATTGAGACAAAGAAAGCTTTTCAAAAACAAAAAAAAGTCATTTAAATTCTCCAAACTGAAATTTTGGCAATTACAGAGCCATTACAGCCTTTTCAAAATGAATCTTATTTAAACTTGCGTGAATTTTTAGAGATACTTTCAAAATATCTCTTGGAAATATGCAGAAATCGAGATAATGACGTTTTCAGTCATGAGATAATCTGCCAGAAGTCTAATTGAAACGGATGAACTGAATATGATTCGATTATAATCAAATGGAAAATGAACTACAGGAGAAAGGTAAGATCAGTGAATTGTTGGTATGCGTTAAGAAGCATCAGTCAAGTATGATTATGAAGACTATGATGAAGCACAGAAGACGTGGTACTAGACACCATTTAAATCAGAAGGAAAAGAAGACTAAAATGTTTTTATTATTACACACATTATGCGGCCACTTATGAACTTGCTTCTGACCAAAATCGACTCCACTTTGGAAAAAAATGATTTTTTTTTCTATTTATGTATTGTCCAAATTATACTGTTTGATATGATTTTCGAAATCATGTTTTTAGAATACTTTTTTTCCATTTTTGAAAGTCCTCGAGCTCCATCAAATTTTAAAATCTGGCAGCAGAAGAAGTTCACAACTGGGCATGGCATGGCTTGTGCAAAGTTGAAGAGTTACTTACTTTTTCTTCCGTCTGAAAATTAGTTGGCTTTTAAAACAGGCAGTGGTTAGCAGCAATTTAGTGTGCGATGAGCAAACTATTCATAATCTAGCAATTGTAAGCCAAATTTTTATATTAAAAGATCAAAAATTTGAAGATGGTGCATGTCCGGCTTACGATAAGAGATTCACGATTAAACGTTTTTTACATTGTTTTAGTGAGTGAAAATTTCTCCTTTTTTGGAAAATGGCGCTGTTGTTTTTTTTTGCTGTTTTGGTAAGGGTACGAACTTTGAAATCAGTCACGGAGTACACATGCAATACTTGCTAGATAAGTTATTCTTATCGCAAAACATTTAAAGACCATCTAAAACCACCACCAACTAAGATAATAACACGAATTCTTCATGTCACCAGTTTTTCAACACGCCTGCTTTTTCCTTAAAACCTGTGAGGCAACGTTTGAATTGGAAAAGTCATTTTTACCCGCGCCTTTCTTTTAATTGTAACGGAAAGTGTCACAAGAAAAGAAGCAGTTTTCATTTTTCGTCTCAAGTTGTAAATGAGCTTACCGATTAAATCTGAACACGCTTGATCTTCTGCGTTGCTGTAGTTCGGTCAGCGAAGGCAGCCCTGGTTCCGTCTCGTGTCGCAACAAGTGTCTCACAAGGTTAATTTTCCGCGCACGACTCGGGTCGTCGTCAACGTTCGTCAAACTCAGTTGATTTGTGTTTGACATAACTGTCGAGTAATTTGAGTCTGAATTGAAGGGGTTGAAACTTGGAGTCGCCGGTCGCAGAATGGATTCTAAAGGAGTTAAAGTTTTGCCGTTTTCAGAAAGGTTCAGCTGTTTGTCGTACTTTCGGGGAATGTCGGATTGAACTGTCGGTGGTTCGGAAAAATTGAGGGGTTTGAGTTTCGATTTGTCGTCTGAGTTGTTGCTGCTGCGCGTGTCACCATCTGTCCTGAGTCCATCGCAGTTCATGTCAAACCTAAGTCGCAAATATTCACTAAATTAATAAAGCGCTAAAAATCAAGAAGATTCTAAAGTAGTCATTTTGGTCGCTGATAAGCTTGAGGCTTCTTTATATTTGATTAAACAGATTAATATTGATTCTTCCAACTTAATGAGAGAAAGCTTTAAGATATGAGAAAATTCAAAGCACAATCCAGAAGGTAAAAGTTTTGGTCCGTAATCGAATTTCAGTAAAATTTACTTAGCAAAATTAAAAACAAATTGCAATCATCTTTACAACAGGAAAAATGAAATATTTTGAAATAATTTCCAATTTCATTCTTCTGATGATCTTATTTCCTTGACACAGACGATGGTGATGTTAGATGCAAGATAGATGTTTCTGAAATTTAAAGGCTTCATTGAATATGCCATTGAAACGTGACGAAGTTAAAAGTGAACTTTCAGGAAATATCTCGCAAGGGTGGATCTATGAGGAGCGGCGACGAATAATAAGACTGTTCCTGAAATATTGCCCCCAAATCATTTGTTACTACTATTTGGAGGCATCAATTTTTGACTTAATTCTAATTTTTCTACTACTATGACGCCAATATCCTCAAAATTCAAAAAGGCGCGCGTCAAAATAAAGCATAAAATAGCGAGTCGAAAAAAAAAGATAACTAGACAGCATACAGATTTTTTAACGAAAAACAATCTATAAAAAACCGAAAAACATAGGCGAAAATTTAAAAAAAATCGAATTTTGCCCCTCGTTCAAATCGCAGATCCGTTCATTGTACAGAGACAGTGTCAAGATAGCTGCGCCTCGATTTGATCTGTAAAAATTGTCTGACTGTATGTGCGGTAATATGTATTTGTTTAACAATGTATTTTGGTTTGTTCTACTCCAGGTATGTCGGTAATGATTTCTTCCATGTTGCAGTTGCAAAGAACTCCAATTATGTTGTTATTTTCCCCTTGTCTGGAGAAAATAAAAGCTGGCACATAAATTTTACTTCATTTCTAAAGAACCGATACTGAGCGTAAAAGGTTTCAAGTGGCGTTTTTTCAAAGTTTCGGAATATGTGTGCTCGGGGTAGTAATTTTTGCTTCGGACAAACTTTTAAACCAGACATTTTTGATAAGTTGTCTTATACCATCTGGAAATAATTGATGCCTTGAGCCCAAAGATGAACAAGACTGCTCATATCAGGGCGAAGCCCTGAATGTTCCGATTGCCTTTTAAGGTTTATGGAGCAGTAATAACATTAAAAAATTAAATAAAATGAAACGAAATGAAAATTTTTTTTTTCTAAAATATGAAAATTTTTATGAAAATCATCCCCCACACGCCATATGAAGAACAAAAGTATAGATTTCGCTCCTTGTAACAAACCAATTATGGCAAATAAGCTTCTTTTAACCAATTTGGAACGATTTCTTAGACGGATTAACTCTCCGCTTACGCGTTAATAGCGCGAAAGTTATCGCGCGTTAATTGTCCCAAAATGACCAAAATGGCAATATTTAAACCCCCGTAACTTTACAAAAAATGATCACAGGTGAAATATCTTTTCAAATTTGAGCTCACGACAACAATACCTTTTGAATGATATAAAAAAAAATCCGTCAAAAACGGCTAGTTAAAAAATCGAAATTTGTCTGAAGAAAAAAAAACCCATCCCGAGCACAAATATTCCGTTACTTTCGTATCGAAAGTCGGAACAAAAATATTTTACTTGCGATCAAATTTCGCAAATTTATGCTGGTTTGAAAGCTGCCAATGTTGGATGATTAACGCGCGATACATTTCAAGCTTTTTGAGCATATGCGGTTAATGAAACAAATCCAAACTAAATTGAGGCGAATAAATTGCTCTCATTTATGCGTTACCCACTTTCAACTAATGTTCCGACTTTCGATACGAAAGTAACTGAATATTGGTGCTCGGGGTGGGTTTTGTTTTCTTCAGACAAATTTCGACTTTCTAACTAGCCATTTTTGACGGATTTTTTCTATATCATTTAAAAGATATTGTTGTCCTGAGCTTAAATTTGAAAAATTATTTCACCTGTGATCATTTTTCGTAAAGTTATGGGGGTTTTAAGATTGCCATTTTGGCCAATTTAGGACAATTAACGCGCGATATATTGCGCTATTAACGTATAAGCGGAGATTTAATCCGTCATAGAAATCGTTCCAAATTGGCTGAAAGAAGCTTATTTACCATAATTGATTTGTTACAAAGAGCGAAATCTATTCTTTTCTACTTTATATGGCGTGTGGGGTGATGATTTTATAAAAAAAATCAAAATTTCGAATTTTTTTTCTTCATTTTATTACATTTAATTTTTTTTATGTTACAACTGCTCCATAAAACTTAAAACACAATCGGAACATTCAGAGCTTCGCCCTGATACGAGCAGTCTTGTATCGTTTTGTGCTATATATAGCGTGTGGGGCAATAAAATTATCAACATAGAATTTTTTATTATTTCATTAGATTTTAAATAATAACTTTTACATCGATTTTAAACGGCAGTTGGAACATTCAAGATTTCACTCTTCAACCAGCAGTTTTATATAAAAATACCAAGCAAACATTATACGCAAACCAATGCAACTTTGAAGTCAAGAAAAAAAAATTTTTTGAGCGCATGAATATTTAAAATTTGTAAATTATCAGACAAAAACCAGCTGTTTCGCAAGAGACAAAGTTTTCAATCATCGTAATCACTAGAAAAACGGAAAAATGCAAAAAAGTTTTTCAAAAATAAAAACGAGGGGCGATTAGTTTAGGTTGCTGTAATTCCAAATTAAAATTCCAGAAAACGGAAATATGAGACTAGAATTTATCGAGACTGGAAAGATAATTTCAGAATTTTGATTTGCAATTCAGAACACGATTAACAATTTTTGAAAAATCAACTTAAGTAAGCTGAAAAATTGCTTTAGAATGCCTGTAATCAAGAAAAAAACATACTCTAGGGTAACTTTTTGGAAATTACGGGAACAAAAATGAAGGTTTTAAATTTCCTCTAGCTAGTAAAGTGTACTTTTGTACTTATTCACGATTTGGCACATAACAATGAGCGCACAATTGGCGAACTAAAAATTTGCAATACTGTCGTTGTCATCTTGCAATTGCTAAGAAAAAAAGCGCAATTTGCGCGCATGTTTTTTTACGCAAAATTAGGTAATAAAACTAGCAATTGGATAAAGTCGAGTGATTTATTATAAAGACATAAATTCCGTCGTGAGTTAAATTGCATTGAAAAATACTAGCCACAAATGAGAATCAGATGAAACCGAGAGATCTGTACTACTATTCAGCGTTTAAATTCATTTTTTGTTTGATCTACTATGGAAAATTATGCGAAGTATGCTGAAAAATATATTGTCTGAGTTCAGTTGACATTGAAGAGCAGATGAAACTGATTTAATCTTTAAAAGCGCTTAATAAGTCTTCTGGATCAAAACTTTTTTGCCTTCTTCAACCAAAAAAAAAGATTTAAAAAACCCATATAAATTCTTTTAAAAAAATTTTCTTTTTTTATTTTTCTTTTGCAAAACAAACGATATCCATTCAGTGCTATTTTTATTGAAAGCGTCTATTTTTTTGTTCTCTAACAGCCAGAGAAAACCCACATTCAGCAAAAACAAAAGTTTTAAATCAATTTTTTGCTACTTTTAGGTCTATATCTATAAAATTCTAAAAAAATCTACGAAGCTATGTTTTATTTAAGCAATCAGTTCCGTAATTAATTATGTTCAATTTTGATTGATTGTAAGATAATTTTTCGATAAATTTTCATAGTTTTCAAAACATTGTAATGGATGATACTCAATTATTTGTATGCCAAATAGTGTTTTTTTTTAAAGTTGCTTGTAATATTTGTTTTTTATAGACGTTCCCTAAATTACAAATTTGGAAAAACTATTTAGCAGTTTTCAAATATCTAAGGTTTTTTCTTCAGTTTTTCTCGATTAGATTTTGTTCATGATGAACATTGTTTGTTTGTTATCACCAAAATGAGCTCATTGTTTTAGTTTGATTGTTAGATTGACGAGAGTCATTTTTTACCTACCGTGTGAATCATTCAATTAATACCAAAGGATACTTCGAAACTTTTGTGTTGTGGTACAAATTTTGTGTTCAGATGTTTCAAAGGTGATGAGTCATTGTACTCTCGAAATTTTTTCGGGCAGCGAAATTATAATCCATCAGAAGATATTTTTTGTTGAGATAATATTTTGGCAAAATAAGAAATAATAGTCTATTAAAATTGATTTCAGAAAACTTTCAACAAAGGATTATAAATAGTTTAATTATCTAAAATGCGTACCTATAATAAACTGTAATTTTTATAGTTAAAGCCAAACTCTTGTCAAAACCTTTTCAATCAACGAATTTAAACGAAGTTAATTAAACTAAATTGCTCATTTTGAGGTTGAATTTTATCTGTTTACTGATTTCCCTACGCAAAAACGGTTTCCAAAAAAATAATTGAATTAAAACGCTACAATTTTTGACCAATTAAACTGCTCGTGGTCATCGATATTGCCAACAATTTAGCGTTAATTGTATAAAAATACAACTATAATTATAATTTAATCGATTATTTTCTACTTTTACTGATTGCGAGCAGATCATTTTTTATCTAGGTTTTAACGTATTTTGAACCCATTGAAAAAATGAACCCAGGTGATATTTCACATGTTGTTTTTCTGCTTAAATTCAATGTTTTCAATTGATTGCAAAAAGCTTGACCCTTTTAGCAAATTTGTTGCTCAAATTTTGCGTCTTTTCAGGTAGGTGCTCCATTCTCCCTAAAGCTAGTATATTTTGACGCAGAAGGTTATTTTTAAAAACATCTTCATGGGTTAGTCGACCAATAACTGATGTCGTAATTAAGTACTGGTACGCTTCAGCCCTTCGCCTTCGGCACTATGGAAAGTGAAAAAAAAAAACTGAAAATCTATTTTTTTTCTAATTTAACAGTGGTCTAAAATCTTTGTGCTGCATGCACGGCAACCGGCTCGACATAAAAATTGTAAGTTTTTTAGAATTTTTGAACTGAGGTGATAAGTGATTTAATAAGATTGTGGACCGGAAACAAGGGCAGGGAAATCAGCCTTCAAGGTATGTATAGAAAAAAAGCGCAATACGAGGAAAATTAAATCGAGGTCCGAATTGCGCCAGTAATTGTAAATGGTGTCCGGCAAATGTCTTAATTACCTAGCAATGAAAATACGCAAAAATGGATGCAGAAAGATAGCAGAAAGATAAAAACTACAAAGGATAAGGCTAAAAAAACTTTGATAACCAATATCCTTTTTGCTAAAAAAGAAACACCTGAAGACAGGAGGCCCCTTCCTCTCATTAATTTCACCCCCTAGCTAGCGCTTTCAGTATTGGTATAATCTTTTGGTAAAGATTCCGCGTTTGGTATTATCTATTAATCTAAAAATTTGCACCGTTTCCTGGGACAGCGTAGGAAATCAATTTAGTCGACCCAAAAGAAAAGGTCGACAATAATTGAGATTTTTTCTAAAATCCGCAATATCCACATCACTCCCGTTCCCACCAAAATCCTAGGTGCTCCCCTGTCCGAATCCAGAGTAAATCTGCTCTGGTGGTCAAAACAACAATCGCCGTTCGAATTCTCGTTTATGTTAGTTAATTAAATATTAGAACTGACTGTTCGAATGTCGACTATATATAATAAATTTTTATATCAGGGTGAGGGGGCCGATATCTTCAATTGTTCACATTTTTTCTTGTTATCAACTATTATTCCGGTCGCCGGAATTTGACTGAATAAAAAATCAAAACTAAATTTGTTCGGTCATTGTAAAATCGGACCCCAGAGTTAAAAAGTCAACGTTCGTGTCATTTAACACATAATCTCACCTGGTTAGTTTTTTGTAATCGGAGGCAGAAGTCATTATATTAATCAGCCCAAGATAAAAACCAAATAGGAATCAAAATCAACATCAAATCTGAATCGGTTAATTAACAAGTTATTATCTAAGTTATATCGCGGATAAAGCTCAATATAAACCCGAAAGTATTATGAGCAAACATACAAAATGAACTCTTAGCCCAGGTTATTTATTTGTCCAAGAGGCGGTAAAGGTAGTGTTCAGTTGGTGAACTTCGGGCGAAAACCAGTTCGGGCCGAAAGTAAACTTCAGTTCAAATGGCGATTTGAATCCACCTTATTTGTTCTATAACTGAGGAGACTGCAAACTTATGTTCTGCTTGAATCAGTCATCAGATTGTTCGAATCAATTTGATTAAGGAATTATGAAGAGTCATAATCAAATTTGCTTATGTATGCTGAGTACAAAATGAATTAGATGTGGTTTCTAGAGCTCTGATGCGACTTTGACGATTTGAAAGGTTTAACCGATGATCAAAAGTCCGCAGCGAACAGAATTATATCGAGAAAACTAAATCACGTGGACAAAAATGAATGAAGCTTACGCAAAAAAAGAGTGCGGATTTTGTTAAACTGGCAACTGCTTCATATGAAATCTTCATGAAATTATTTTGAGACTTTCAATGTAACTGTGAGTCTTTTATAAGTCTTTCATAACTTCACAATTAACATTTTAAAGCCACATAATTAAAATGTGTGGCAAATTTCACGCTCACCACGCAATTTTCTCCATTTTATTTAAGAGGCTTATTTCGCTACATATTTTTCTCCTAATGTTTCTTACGAAAGTCCCACAATGGCTCTAGGCTATAATGTGTAAAAAGACCCCCAAAATACGCCAGTAAAATCAAATGGGGCGAAATTTGTGCGGGAAGAAAGTGTTCCGACTAATTAAAACTGGCACCAGGATTAGTAGAAATCAATATGCCAGAATAAGACGCAATTGTATGTCAACATGTATGTTCCACTAAAAAAACTAGCGTTGTCAAAACAAGGTGAAAAAATTGTTTAAAGCCGAAAAAAAAATCGCGGAACGCCAATACACTGATTGTATTTCAGTAGCATCAGCCAAAAAAATTCACAAATTAAAAAAACATCAAAAATCCAGATTTCCATAAAGTCCTTTCTCACTTCAAAGCTGTTGCAAAAAAATTGAAATGAGTTTTAAAAAACATCAGAAAATGCATAGGTAAAGGCTTTTAGGTAAAGATTCAACAGCATAAAATGAACACATAAAAATCTGGAAAATCGAATGTGATAGTAAACAATTTGCTTGGGAATAAATGAAAAGGCAGATCTATTATGGTATTTTTTCGGTTAGTATTTAGAAAAAAGAATGCTGCATGAAAATGGATAATTTGACAGTAATCAGCACCATATTATATTGAATCTACTTTTTGTTTTTAGCGAGTAAGAAACGGTTTGGTTTTTGTTTTGAATATAAATCCGGCGGCTGTCAAAAAACGGTAGAAAAGCGCAATTTCGTATTTGGGGAGTTTTTTCTCGTTTAACCCATAAACCTATAATCACTCCAAAAAACTCTTCAATCACAATAGAATGTAAAATGGAGGCGTGGTAAAGTGGCTGGGGTAAAAACGAGGACACCAAGTAATGGCTTTGGAAATAAAGGCAAAAAAAGTCAAAAGATAACAGAAAAATAGAAAATTGAATCCGCGCTGTTAAAATAAATTTTGTTAAGACAAAGCAAAAGCAAAAGATTCTTCAAATTTTATTGATAACTTTTTTTATCAATATCGTCATCAAAGAACAAAATCATTTTTTTTCAAGTTTAGTTTTGTGAATTTGGGGTAGATGGCTGGTAATGCTTTCGTTTGATCACAGTTATTTTTGGAAAATTAATAGCAAAAATGAAAACAGAACAAAATTTTTGACCTTTTCGAGCAAGGCAAGCGGTAAAAGAAGATTACAAAAAAATACTTAAAGAAGTACTTTTTGCTATACTCGCTGGCTTTACTCGCTCTAAATTTGTCCAAGAAGCAAAATTTCAAACGGGTGGTTGTTTTCGACTTCGAAGAATTTTTCCAAGTTTTTGAACATCGATCAAACTATGAATCGATGGGCCCCCCAAAAAAACGCGCCAAAAACAAATTTACTTCTTTTCTCACCTTTGGAGATTCGATTGAAAAATTGTCTCTGTCAATATTGAAGGAAAATTTTTCACCAACGAGGTTCCACGTTGTATATATGTTCCACAAGTGGAATTTCAAAACCTGCAAGCCTTTTTCGATTTTAAGCAATTTATCAGGAACTCATTATCATATTTTGAGAAATTAGGTTGCTGGAGGCTTATTTTACACAAAAGATGTTCAAAAGCGTGTTCTAACTCATGAAATGAAAAATCTGCAATGTAAAAACGCCATTAAATAATAAGCCTCTGAGCAAAATTTTTTCTCTCGTATCACTTTTTCAGTTCGGAAAACCATGTTGGGAGTTGTTTCAACCAATTACTGCATAATTTATACAGAAACGTTATAAACCCTAATCCAAATAAAAACTTACTTTCCGATAGGTACTACTATAAGATAGAGTGGTCCCTTGAAAATAACCAGGTCCCTTGAGAATACGACACCTAGAGCTCTCAAATCGTTTAATAAATATGATTACGCCTTTCAGAAAGAAGTTGCAGTATATTTTCAAACAAATTTCATGTTTTGTTACCTACCTCTTAAAACCTCCCCCTCACCATTTAAGGTTGAAAATTAAAAAAAAAACGCCAATAGTGGGTTTTGATGTCAAATAAGTCAACCCAATTATATGGTTGTTGAACCGTAAAATAAAGTAAAGCGAGCAAATTTCAATATATAAACAATAGTGATTACAATTTTCAATCTGAAAAGTTTCTGGCTGAACATATTTTGCAAGATTTTTGAAATGAATAATTTATACACAAATTAGTTTTCAAAATTATAACATGCGAAATGCATGCGGGACCTGTCTATCATAGTTGCTTTTTCGAGGGACCACTCTATCATGGTAGTACCTTCCGATGAATTTAGGTTTTTAAATTTAGTTTTTATTTACTGAAAACACGAGAAGTCACGAAGGTTTCAAATTTGGTGCTTTGCTAATTAACATCAAAGAATATAGATGTTCCTCGGCGATAAATAAACTTGCGAGTAGTTTGATAATAAAAGTTAATCCGCTAAATTGAACTTTAAAGCTGGAAGAGGGTTGAAACGTGAGGTATTAGTTTTCAAATTTGCCGACCATTTCTCTGAACTTGGCGGTATGCGAAACACCTAACTGCTCATAATACTTGGGTAACAAACTGTTGCAAACTGCATGGAAAAGTTTCAAAAAGGGTAAATTTTACATGTTATCGCTTAGTTTTGAAAATTGTAATCAGCGTATAGTTAATAATAAATAATTATTTGGTTCATGATAGCTTCAAGCTTCAGCTGAAACAAATGATCGGATAAAAAGTTATAAAAACCATAAAAACATAATAAAAAGTAAAGACAAAAATGTCTGATAAAAGGTTAGCGCAGTTCGCTGGTTATATCTTTTAATCAATCTTTGTACTCTTAGTAATTATTAGAAGTACTCTTGAGCTCAATACAACAAAAGGAGTTAGTTTCTCATAAAAAAGCTTGCAGCCAAATGAACAAATGAGCCGTTTTATTTACTGTATTTTTATAGTTTCATATACCTCTACAAAAACTAAAAAACACCTTTCTGTTGTAATATAAATCGACGTCATATTATTAACACGAAGAGGAGTTAAAAATTAACAGCTAAAAATCAACATGAAGAGCAGTTATTTTCCGGTGCTATGTAAATAAGACGACAGGCCAGTAAGACGACAAGACATTAGGACGACAAATGAGCGTTAAAACATGTAAATAAGCTGGCCAAATATAAGCGGTTTATATTTCTGATAAATAAAATTTTGGAATTTGCGTAGCGTCGTCTTAAAGTCCCGCCTAAAGCTGTTGTCGTCTTAACAGTTGTCGTCTTATTTGCCGGACACCTTACTTGTCAATATATTTTACACGTTAGCTCATAGAAAAACATTTGCTTTGATATGAATCATAATATATACTAGTGCAAAAAAGGCATTACAATAAAGTTGTTAATATGCTTTGTTTGGGTGGGTGGCATAAAAAATAATTAGCTGACATTTGGAGGTTCATTTGAATTGAATAATAGAAAACCTGATAAGGTATGTTGTTTGTAGTGGATTGTAAATAATATAATAGCATCCGGGTTATCAGGCCTGGATTATCGAGCCAGGCAAAAAAGTATTAGAGATTTCGTTTATATAAAAAAAACAAAGACAACCTTAAAAATAGTCAGAAAGGTGTCATCTACGCCAATTGGATATTACCTGGGGATGATCTAGAATTTGCCCCCTTTCAAATCCATTCCTGCTTATTATTTTTATTATTTCTCAAGATCCAGTCTGAGAAGCAGAAATATTCAGACAAGTTATTTTCCAAAAAGGTAGATTTTTTAGACCAAGTTAACATCCTCCCTCCCCTCCCCGCCCCAAGCCATTTTTTTGGGGAGGAGGGGGGGGGGGCGGAAGGATGTTAAATTAGTTCTAAGTTAGAAAATTTCAGTCAATCAGAATCGAGCACTTTGTTAACTTTTGGTCCAATTTTTTTTCGAAGTATATTTTCAAAAACGAAATGGCGGTTAAAAGATTTTTTATATGATAGCAGTATAGCACACTAGATCACCTGTCAGCTTGTTTTGTAGAGCCTGAAATTGCGGGAAAAACACTGAACCTAGGTCATTGTAATTTCCACTCTTTCAGAATAGCCCAAACAATACTGCCAGATGCTTCCATGCTCAATTTCCTGTCTTCTCCCTGTGAAGACGGAATACTGAATAGCATTTGTCCTACCGGTCGGAAAATTGAAAAATACCCCTAAACACTAAGTTTTGTGATTGCTTCTGCTTTTACAATTTCCGGCATCTGATTTTGTTGGTATCTTGTTACATCGATTTTTGCTATTATTAAAATAAACCAGTAGCGGTTTTAGGGGAAGGGGGCTGATGTCCCATCTCAGGGGCTTGACCCCTCTGGTATAATTTTAAAACATCCCTTTTTGGCTGACCGACCCTAAAGATCTTCTAAACGCGCCTAATTTCGAGCTAATATTTGGTCAAAAACTAACAAATCGGAAAATGCTTTTGTTCGATCCAAAAAATGATTGACGAACATTTCGAAGACCCCACTCCCCCATAAAATCTTTAATCCGCCCCTGATTGAAACATTTTCTCACAACGGAAAAAATCAAAGATTAATTCAAAAAAAATTGGAGAAAAGCTAGCTACTTAAACTTTTAGTCTAAACATGGAATTGTCGATCAAACACACGTCGATTTTCAAACAATTTTGACGCAGCTAAACGTTTTCTGAAAAAATTATATATCTGCAACCAATTTTTTTTAGTCGATTTGAGTTTGGCCGCTTTGAGATAATTATTGTGCACAAAAATTCCTTTTTTCATTTACGTGTACCATAGAAGGCAAATTGGTCCGCCTCACAAAATCTTCCAAACATCGCAAAAAAAAACTTGTTGCTAAAAGCTGGAGCAAAATTGTTTAAAAGCAACCTCGCTTTGATGCGAGCAGTTGTGTTTCAACGTTTCTTCGGATATTTTAGTGCTAATTAATTAATTCCAATCTCTTATGGTACAAGTTGCAGTACAAAATACAAAATATTGAAAAAGAAGTAATCTTTTTAAAAATGGCTACTACATGTTAGGTTACATACCATAAAGCATACAACTTTAATTTAATACCGGTCCAGCAGCATACAAATGAATCAGGCTGATCAAAGTAAATGGATGAGAAATTGAACCCGAATATTTTCATGTAAAGACTTTCTGAATTTTCGAAAACAAGTCATTCAACAAGTCAAACAACGCCTTTACAATTTTTCTTTTAATTGATCTGTTCTTTTCGTGCAAATTTTTTTTATTTTGTTTTTACACAAACAAAGAGCAAGTCAATTAGATTCCAGAAGAACAATTTTGACCACAAACT